AGTATTCCTTGAGTTGAGTAAGTTTGAGAAGAGGTAAGTATGTTTCATTTTTATCAAATTTCAAGCTTATGTTCATGTTTTAGAATTTCCCTTACATGCTCGTACATTCCACGTACTGAGCCATTTGGCCTGCATCTTCTCATGATGCAGACACAGGTATTCAGGATCATCAACAGGAGTTTCGTTGATACATTCGATAGTTCAAGTTAGCTATGGTGAGCTTCCTTGCTTCCGGAGAATTTCATTTACCTTTCAGTTATATCAGTTGTTAGGATGTCGTGGTTCTTGTCCCGACTTCCATCTTTATCAGTTAGAGGCTTCATAGATAGTCAATATAGTTGTGAAGTCTGTATTATTCATTTATTGTTATTAAATGTTTTAAAGACTTAAGTTGCCTATTTTGGAGCGAGTTGAATATATTTTATTATTCAAAGTTTTCATTTGAGTTAAAGTTTGAATTTAAGTTTTATGAACTTTTATTTCAGCTTTTAAGCTTTGTATGCTTGAATCAATTTTTCGCTTGTAGTCAGCCAGGATGACGGTTCGCTTGGGGACCAGCAATGGTCTTCGAGTGCCGGTGTCACGCCCCGAGCTACCCCCGAGACGCGAACACGGGACCTAGGACCACAAGTGATCCCAAGCTAACCCTGCTGGCATGATCATGAGCATACTAAATATAATCTGAATAATAAAAACTGTGCGGAAGCTATAATCATAAATAAAATGAAAAGATGGGGAATACCCATAAACTATAACTGAGATAAATGATAACTGATGAGTTTAATACAAGGAAGATACTAACTCAATATTAAGTTGAATCTAACTATGTCTAAAATAAGCCTCTAAACTGACTAGAAGTGTTGGGACATGCCCCAGCTAAGTCTAGAAAATCTGAAACTAAAGACTAAAAATACTGAAAAGAAACTCATGACTATTGTCCTCGGAGAATGAGGACGTCCTCGGAGAATGAGGACTCACCACTGATTCTCCTGAACTGGAGATTGGGAACCAATTAAGCGTAATTTAAGATGCTAAGAATCTGAACCTACATCACGAGAAGATGTAGCGCACGTATGCGTCAGTACTTGAAAGGTACTGAGCATGAAGGATAGAGTAAAGCTGAAATAACATATAACTGAACAAAGCAATAAAGCAATGAAATAATCTGAATATGATATAGACACTGAAAATACTGAATACTGAGTTAACTGATGCGATGACCAAATTATAACATGTTGAGACTGAATACTGACTATATTGAAATATGGTCAATGCAATAGAGTCTGACTGAACTGTGGGAGCTACTAATAACCGACATAAAACCACATGAGCTAAATGTGGAGTCCGATGTATACGCCCCATCGAGAGGACCCAATATACCATGCCAGAGGTATAAAGGCATGATGGTGTGATCACTAAACTGATGTTGCCCACAGAGGGGACTTACACCTACGTGGCTCATAGTTCTGGGACTATATGGGTACGCTGAACCCTAGTCCAACTCGATATTATGCTACTCCCAATGAATTAAGTAGTTAATTGGTTATGACTGAATTTCTGTAAATACTGGATAGCTCGAACTGAACATGCAAACTGAGAATGCAACAATTAATCTGATAATGACGCATTCATAAACTGAGGCATGTATAACTGAATACTGAAATATCTAACCTAGCATGTGTAATTCAAGAACTAATGAAATACATAGTTAGGGTTCTGAAATTCATGCAATAAACTGAGCAATAACATGATAATCTGATTTGGAACATTTAAATAACTAATTCATGATGATCTGTTGAGATTCTAGAAACACTAGGTTTGTTCATAATCATAGAATCAAGAATGTGACTGAATTCTAGGGACCTAATGGGCGAAAGGAACCCACTAGTGAAATCCCACATACCTGGTGACGAATTTCACGGAGAAATCCTTTGATTTCTGGGCTGGAACTGAAGAAAACTTGTTGCGTTCTTGAACTAGGGTTCTTAACCTTTTCCTCCTCTCTCGCTTCTAATTTTCTAAAATTTTGATTAATGATTTGACTTAGGTAAGTTCTAGTTATGTTTCTATGCTTAAACTGACTAAAACCTCATGATTTAGGGTCTAAACAACGTATCTTAGGGGTTAAACGAAAAAGGAAAATACCAAAAAACCCCTGACTTAACTGCTGTCGGAGTGACCGACGGTTTGGACTGACGGGCCCGTAGGTCAATTGACGGTCCGTCGATTGGAGTCGTCGGTCGAGTCTGCCTGACAGGGCTTCACTAAAACGAGCATAACTTTTTACTCGGATGTCGAATTTTAGCAAACTTGGTGGCGTTGGAAAGAGGATTCAATTATATATCATATCATAGGTCATGGGACACATAATTCCTTTTGTGCTAAAAGTTATGACCATCTGAAGTTGACTCAATCACAATTTTCATCTAACTGACTGTTGACCCTCACTTACGGTCAGACCTATGGACCGTGCATCGAATGACGGTCCGTGCTAGTCGACCATAATTTGTGTCAGAGGCTGAGTAAGGGAAGTCTCGATCCACGGACCGTGGTCTGATCTACGGACCCTGGGTTTGTCCGTGAGTCGGGACTTAGCCAATTTTCTGAGCTGGTTTGGGGAGGGGTTGCAGTGGTGAACCACGGACCACCAACACATGTCGTGGTTTGACCTACGGTTCGTGGATGGCAACCATGGGTTGCACCTGCAACTTCTCAAAATCTGCATTTTTGGTCTGTTTTGGATTCGAGGTGTTACAGCCGGCCACGTCCAGGGTGTAGGCTCGGGTCATGACAATTTTATTATATAGAAATTTTTCATTTTTATTTTAGTTTGTTTATTTAGTCATCCACTTTAAAATTACTCCTCAAATTAGAAAAATAAAGCATTTATTTTAATAATTTTATTTCAATATACTCAGTTTGAGATATATCTCATAGGAGATGTAAGAGTAGAATTTTCATATTATATGAGACGTAAGTATTTAATTTTAAATACAAAAAATGTATCTCATAGAACAAAGATTTTTATTATAATATCCCTTTCTTATAAATAAAAAACTAAAAATACTCACTGCATATTTTATATCTTTATTATCATAATTTAGCTTATTTACTTTTCAATAAAAGTAATACTAATATATATGCCTAAAATTAGTTATTTTTGTAATGTGCAAAATCTTTCAATCACTGAGTAATTACTTAAAATAAGTTTATTAGGAAATTACTCACATTACTTATTTCAATAACAATATATTAATACCTAAGTACTATATTTAAAATACTCATTAGATGCATTAAATTAGTCTAAATACCAATTTAAAAAGACGGTCATTAGATGCATTAAATTAGTGTATGTACTAATTTAGCAATGAAAAATAAGTAAATCATTATTACTATCTTTACAACTATTAATTGAAGTTAAATTGATAGTCATACAATGTCTTATTATATCAACATAAAGGAATTTCCGGCGATATAAATACACTTTCATATATATTTTTATTGAAAAAAATTAGTAACTATTGTGACGACATGAATTAAGTCGCCTACGTTTTGTTGCGACAATAGGTGTCGCAACTATAGCCTCCAGTTTTTGTGGCAACTTTGTTAATTGCCACAATAAGCCGCACATTTGTGGCAACTATATGTGTCGCCACAGAGAGTTGTCACTAAAAGTTGTGTTTTAAGATGACTTTCTTCTTCCTTTCAAGCGTTTATAATATGAGTTTTGTTGCATCTGTTTATAGTGTTTATAGAGGCATATAAAATGTTATCAAAATATGACATCAATCATGAAAATTATGTAGGAGATTAACGTGAGAGTTAAATTTATAATGGTGAAAAATAGTAGAGAATTAACTATACCACATAGAGTAGAGTAGTGGAAATAACTTCTTAGGAGTTAATGGACATCCACCATAATTGTATTATTTCATAACACTGCTCTTAAATATTTATAGATGATGTGGCTCGTTAAAAATCTAAAAAGAACAATAAATAATGACATAATCAAAGGGAAAAAAGAAAGCAATAAAGGTCAAAAATATCTTTTTCATGAAGAAAAGTCGAGTTGGCCTTTAAATCTGTCATAAAGGTTTTTTGAAATTTTTTTAAAAAGTAGAAACTCAAATTGAGGAGAGAGAAAAATACGAAAGGCGATGTTAAATTTTAAAAACACTCTATGTTAGATGATGAAGTACAAATATATTACGAGTTGTACGTAATTATGCCTTCAACTCATTTTTAGCCATTGACTTCATATTTAAGGGGTTTATTGTTGGGCAAACAATAAATCGTTAAATTATGTATTTTTTCGTGAGTTCTCAAAATTGTCATCCGTGTCAGATTTCGGTCCCCCAAATATATGTATTTAGCGCGTCCAGATATATGGGTCAAAAGGTATAATTTGTCCAGATACACTATATTCAAGTGGATTCACATGTATCTGACTCTCTAGCTCGCTTCTCTCCTATTTCGCTCGCCTCTCTCCCCTCTCCCTGATCTCTCGCTCGCCTCTCTCCCCTCTCCCTGATCTCTCGCTCGCCTCTCTCCCTATGTATGTATTTGCACTTCAGAGTGTATCTGACTTGAAGTTTAATATAAAATTATTAATTAATGAGACAATATATAATTATTTTAAACTATAGGGAAAAAAATATAATAAAAATATTTGTATAATTAGTTAGTTTTACTTTTATTGTTCCATCCAAAATGTGAAGAGGGTATTAATGTTTCTCAAACCCACAATGTTAAGGGGGTAATGTGATTTTTTTATGACAAATCATTAAAAGATTAATTAGATCCAGATCTATTAATGCTGTGTTTGTGCCGTTGGATTTTGTTTTTTCCCCAATATTTCAATTAGCCGTTAATCATTAATTAAACGGCTAAATACATTATCAAATCACTTATTTAAATACTCCATCTTTCTACCTCCAAAATCACTAACAATTTCTAAAATCCATTCAAAAGTTCAAATTTCTTCATCAAAATTCAATTCAATGGGTGCTCTTCCCATTGTCACTTCAACTGAGTTCAAGTCTCACTGTCATCCATCTCACCAAATATTTTGTTTAACCAATTATATTCTCTTAAGTGCATCGTCTAGTTGTATCTTCCTTACCCTCTCTTTACGTCTAATCCCATCGTTATACGGTGGCCTTTTCATCCTCCTCCACATTCTCACAATCGCGGGTGCAGTGCCCAGTTGCACGGACACTGCAACCCTAGCGGGGTCCAACAATTGGTATGCCATATATATGGTATCTACTGTTTTAACGGCAATATTTCAAGGATCGTCTTCTGTGCTAATTTTCACAAAGAGTTATGACTTTTTAGGAGAATTAAAGTCTTATGTTAGAGAAGAAAATGGTGTTGTGATTTTGAAATTGATTGGTGGATTGTCCATTTTGATATTTTGCTTGGAATGGGTTGTTTTGTTATTGGCATTTATTTTAAGGTACAATGCCTTTGTGGAAGGGAATAATGGTACAAATTCTAAACAAGAAGAGACTTTGAAAGGCTATCCTTGTCCAATCCAAGTATAATATTTCTGAAAGGCAGCTCGATACACAAAACATATTTTGAAATGAAACGGTCGACGTAAATACAACTTACTCGAGTACAAGTATTGGTGCAAGTTGTTTCCACAATTTGAATACGTGATTAATATATAGGTCACACACGAAAACAATTTTATCATTATTCCAAGGCTTCATGTAAAAGTATAATATTTTATAGTTACTTTATTCGTGTAGAATCACCATGTTCCAAACCTTGGAGCTCTATGGTGAATTATTTATTCATACTAAAAATAAAGTGTGAGATCAATTTTATTTTTTTTTCTTATTAGGCTTGTGTTGATGTTCAAGATTTTCTGAATTGAGTTTTACTAATTGCGATTGAGCTCCTTACTCAATTTTTATTTTCTTAATTTGGTTTGATATCATCGATATGTTTTATCGATTGTAAATTTCATATATCGTTCATTAAATATAACGAAACAAAGAATAATAATAATGATGAAATATATAAATGATACAAGAAAATATTGTCCGAAGAATCTCGATACTAAAATGACAATGTCTTTGATGATTTGTGGTCCAATTCTTTTATGTCACGTTCGATTTTCTTGGTGCCCTTTTGGAGTATGATAGGTCATTAAGGAAGACAAAGGTACATGTAGGTTTTTAGCATTTGATCATTTTATTTATTTATATATTATAGTACAGTTTCACACAAAAAAATTCAGATTTTTAGGGTAATTATAGTCGGTAAAAGTGTTTGTATCAAATCAATACAATTTATCATAGTTTATAAGTTGATTAAATAATAAATATAATAAAATACATTTTTAATTAATTATGATAAAGTAAAAAAAAAACTTTATATTGAAACATTAGATCGTGATTTTGTTTCTATAAAAAGAATTAATTTATCATATATGCAAAGGAGATTTATAAATAGCATTCAGAGAATGTTCTATCTACAATGAGGGTATTTTTGACATTTATTTGTATTATTTCTAAATAGGTCTTGTAAATTGAGTAATCAAAAGTTGTACCCTTATTTCGATTGACGGAAAAACCAAATGACATTTTATTAATCACACTTATGTCCCTATTGCAGTGCAAGCCATTATATTTTTGCCCTTGCTTTTTCAATTTTATTAGAATAGTTATCTTGTACTCCCTCTAGTTCATAATAATTGATTTTTTTTACATTTTTTGAGTTCAGTATGAGTTAATTGTTGAATATTCAAGAGAGTCGTAGAAAATTTCTTCTATTTTTGTTTTTCATTTACATTTTTGAAGTGAAAAGTCCAAAAGAGTTATATTACTCACATTTATAATTTTATTTTGAATCATTTCTATTTTCAAGAATAGCTTGAGAATAACTAAAGGTAAAGGTGAAAAGTTATATTTAATTGTGTCCTAATTTTTTTCGTAATGAGTGTGCATTACCTCACAAATTCACATAATATGGACTAGAGAGCATATATTTTAGTAATAAATAGAGCTATTGAAGTGACAAATACCTCAATTGTTATATATATATATATATATATATATTTGTTGCCTCAATTTATGTGACATTGTTAAAATATCGAGAGTTAATAAAAAAAAATTAACAATAAAATCTTACTAGAAATAATCCAATAAAAATTCTAGGGAAAGAAGAAGAATACATATATTTGGTAATGCGCCTTTTTAGTTGGTAGCCTGCCTCAATAAAAATTTTACCATGAAAACCTAATGGGATAAAGCTTGATTAACGAAAAAAGAGTGCAACACATGTTTTATTTCTTCAGATTAAAACAACACTAAGTTTTTGAGATTATATACTCTGATCTTAGATATTAACGTATTTCATATTGAGATTGACAACGCCTTTATGATCAAATCTGTCAACTCATTATTTGAACGAACTGGTAGATCACCAATGTCGTCGTTCTCTTGATAGAATTGACTCGTTATCATATAGTATTGTTTGAATTACGTCAAGTATATTCTTGCTTGCTCAATAAACTGTTATTATCTTATCATGTAGAATAACATGATATGACAATAATAATCCCTCATGATATTATGAACATATCAAATGTTTTATTCGTTTTTGTTTAATCCATTTCCCACCCGCCCCTTTACCACTTCTAGTAGTGACAAACTTTTTTCCTAATTTTACTTATTTTTGGGTAGTATCCTTGAGGTCTAATGTCGAGGGTTTTGTACCTTCTACAAATTGAGCTAACTTGCCAAAATATTATGAGTTGTTGTTGATGGTGCTAATCTTAAGCTTTAGATCAATGACTCAATGATTAGTTTTATTTAAGTACATGTTTAGGGGAATAAAATTGTTAGCTATATCTTTTACTAATAAACAAACAACTGATAGGAAATATTTTAATATATAACGCGCAATAACTAATAGTTATGTTATACCTAAAGCCAACTTGAATGCACCAAAACAAGGTCATATAACCATCTAAACAATAGGATATTTCTTCAATTATTTGTGGACCAACTCTTTAAATAGCTACCTTCAATTTGTTTTATGCCCTTTTGGGGTGTGATAGGTCATTTATGGCCAAGGCAAGCATCTGATTCATTTAATTGGTACAATATTATTCTTTATGTTATATTCAGAAAGAAAAAAAAAGGATAAATAGTATGATTCATTATAAATATTATTTTAGTACTATAAGTTTTTAAAAGTTGATAAAAATTAATAAATGATACCAACAAAATACAAGAGACTTTTGTAGAGTTGTTTTTCATTTTTATTATAATTATTTGATCGTGGGATATCAATCAGATCATTAATATATATATATATATATATATATATATATATATATATTGTTTTACAATAATAATTCTATAATGAATTTCATTGATATTCTAAAGTTATATTTCCAAGGAACGTCGAAAGATTAAATTATATTGACCGAAACAATTTATAATTATTTAGATAATAAAAAAATAATTAAAAATCACATCATATAACTCAAGGCTCTTACAATTTATGCAAGTGGTTGAACATGATTTAGTTGAAATTTGATATTTGTTCTTGGGCCGAGTCGAACATTGGGTCATGGGTTGAGTTGAGATCGTCGGATGTTTGATCGGGGTCGGGGTTGGCAGTTGAGTCAAGGTCGGGGTTAGGGTTAGGGTTGAGACCTCAACCTAGATCCCGAACCCAATCCAAGCCCCGACTTTTAACCCTTGAATCGTTACCCCCAACCTAACTCAACACCTAAATACCTCTCAAATTGAGACTCGACCCCAACCCATGATTCGACTCTAACCCTGACTCTCAACACTAATGTTGATTCGAGACCCGACCCCAATCCCAACTCAGTACATAACTTTCGATTATGTAGTTTATCTGATTATAACATTTTAGGTTTGGTGTCATAATTATTTTCCAAATTATGGGAATAATATTCTTCTTACTAACCAAACAATCAAGAAAATATTTTCTAGGAAAATATTTTTATTCGGACCAAAATAAAACAATGATACATATAATAATTCAAATCTAATATAAAAAAATCTAACACAAAGTAACAATTAACCTTTTATTTGAATATACATAAATCAATTAGACCCTCATTATGTAAGGGTTTAAGTATCAGATTTTGAAATACAATGAATATATACTCATTAGTCATTATTGAGTATTTAGTAAATCTATTCTAATAAAATAATAGGAAAAATATTTATATGCACAACAAAAGATATATTTTGAGGAAAATTCCAAAGAAAATGATATAGAGATAAATATAGTAACAACATTGGACATTTTTTGTGTTATATAATCACTTCGTCTAGCTATCCTAAGAAAAAAGGAAGATAGAGATAGCAAAGCAACAATGGCATCTTTCATCAACAATCCCTTAACTTCACTCTGTAACACTAAGTCTGAAGCTAATAATCTCTTCAAAATTTCCCCTTTAAGAGCTCAATCACTGGGTTTTTCCAAGCTTAATGGCAGCAGAAAAGTTGCTTTCCCTTCTGTTGTTTGCAAAGCGGTGTCTGTACCAACGAAATCGAGTACAGAGATTGAAGGGCTTAACATCGCTGAAGATGTTACACAGGTGATTTTATCACTAAAACTTTATCTGGGTCGGTTTTATTTTATTGAAATGTTGAAAGATTTGAAACCCCTTTTGTAAATCTTGTTGTTGGTAGTTTTTATCTGTTTGTGTTTGATGATTTGATTGTGTTGGTGGATATATGAATTGGGTTTTGTGTTTGTTTGTGTAGACTTAGTGAATTTGTGTTAATTTCTCGTTAAAGGGTCATTTTCTTACTATAAAGACAAAGTTATAATCGTGGGACTGATTTATTCCACCGTCTAGATGGGATAAAATAATATCAAGTTGAATGAGATAAGGCGAAATACTTCAACTAAACAAAGTATAATTTTTATCTCAAGCTTAATTGTGGGATATCCCACTTTATCCTACGTACCAAACGACCCCTTAAGGTGTTATTTCATATTCTTGAAATGTTAAAGGCTTGATTTTTGGAGGATATATGGATTGAGTTTCGTGTTTGTTTGTCTAGACTTGGTGACTTCGAGTTAATTTCTCATTGAGGGCCACTTTTCTTACTATGAAGGTGCGATTTTGGTAGGGAGGAAGATGTTTTCTGTGGAAGTAATTTACCTTGGGAAATTATTTTTCTGCATTATTATAGAGTTTTTGGTTGGGTACTGAAGTTAGTATGGAAATGTACAGGGAGTAAGTACAGTGTGTAGTGATGATATTTGAAATTTTCGATATTAAAAGGTTAACAATGATGTGTTGGATGAATCAAGTGATAAGGAGTAAGACTTGAAATATTTGTAAAGGAAACTTACTGCTGTCTATAAGTGATGGAAATTATTTTCCCCTTTTTGAAAACATTTCCCCTATTCGATTCTTTTGGTATTCCCACAATTCAATACAAAGGCTGGAAAATGATTCAGCAAGGAAAACATTTTCCCGGAGTCGTATAAAACACACCCAAGTTTAAACTCTTTCAGTAAATTTTTTGGTCTAGTTCTGTTTAACTATGATATTCCGAAATGGCTTTACAATTTTCCAGTTTTCAGTCATTTTCCTCCTCTGGAGAGAGTCGGGGAAACTTACTTTATTGAATGTCTGGCTTTTTAATTGGCATTGATTTTAGTTTATTTTCAGTTACATTGCTCCAGACTAGTCTACTTATAAAATTTGCCTGCTGGTGGATAGTTTACTTCCTGTATTTCTCCTTTAGTCACGGGCTTTTTGATGTTGCTGTTGCATTTCCTATGTTCCATTGTTAGTTTCAAGCTTTGTGACATGAATACTTAAAATAAGTTAGGCTTCTTTGATTATTAAGCTATAGACTATTTTCAAGGAAGTCAACATTTTTTTAAAGATAATATATGGGTGTATTTAACTTTAGACCCTTACAATATTTCCAACTCTGAACTATATGAAAGACTATTAGCAGGAAAGATTCATATAGTTCTTGTTATATTGCGTGCCCCTCTCTCTCCTGATGTCTATTCTATTTGTTTCTTCATATTGTTATGCTAATTTTGTTCTATCATTTGACAGCTTATTGGGAACACACCAATGGTTTACCTTAACACCATCGCTAAGGGTTGTGTAGCAAACATTGCTGCTAAACTTGAGATTATGGAGCCATGTTGCAGTGTTAAGGACAGGTGAGAGAGTTTTTTGTTTGTATCGTGATATCTGAATTTCCGTCAACCTGGAATTTTAAACTGAAGAATTCTTTTAATTGGTTACTGTTTTTCTTTTTAGTAACTTATCCTGTTCCATTATACTGATCTTTTCTCTCAGATTATAGACATCATTTCTTATGTCTGCATTCCGGGGAATATATTGATATTATACTTGTGCTTGTAGCTACTCCCTCCGTCCCAACTTATGTGACACTTTTTCCTTTTTAGTCAGACCCAAAAAGACTGATACTTTTTAATATTTTTCTACATTTTAACTTCAAACTTCCCATTTTACCCATAGCCACAAAATATTTGTGGCTTATTCTTAAACTCCGTGCCCAAGTCGAACACCTTCACATAAATTGGGACATAGGGAGTAATATATTTCCTTCGGTTACTGTGAGCTCTACAAGAAAATATAACACTGATGACTGTCATACTGATGGATCTATTGTAAAGTTTGACATCAGTCATGTTTTGTTCCATTCTTGGGGTGTATCTACAATTAAAAATCCTTATCTTAGACGAAGGTATTTCTTGTGAACAAGCTAGTTCAGATAACACCATATGCTTCAAAACAATCTCTGAAGTTTTTCCCTTACATAGTATTTTTGGCTTCAACGCCGCCTACATGAGCTTCACAAAGCCAAGCCATAGCTGTTCCAAGAATAGTTAAATGGGGGTTGCGTTAGGTTCTTTCCAATGTAAAAACAGTCTAATTACGATGAAAGGATTGAGACATAGTTTTTCGATTGATTGTTATTTCTGTTGCATTTCAGGATAGGGTTCAGTATGATAGTTGATGCCGAGGAGAAGGGACTTATATCTCCGGGGAAGGTAAGTTGGCCAATCAGCTAATTGTCTCTCTTGGTACAGACTTGATATATGTCATTCTGAATCAAAGGAGTAAGTCCACCATGTAATGTTCAAATGCTGAAATTTCTTTATTTGACATATTGTGAATGTTCTGTTAGGTTAACGTCTATTATGCATTTGTTACACACTTCTCCCTCTTGTGTTAGTATGACCTGTAAACAAAAGAATATCATCTTGTACCTGATATCAGTGTGACTGAGTGCTATTTTCTTCTGATTGACCAGAGTTCTTCCTTCTTTCTGAGGACCAAAAGGGTTTTGGTAGGAGGACATATATAACCTAGTTCTTTTTGGTTCTGGTTTTTGTCATCTTATTTGCCAAGTCTTTTGTTTTTACTGTCCTTTTGGTATAGTCTACTTGCTTTCATCAGTCTTGGTCTTTCAACATGGCTGTTTATGGGTCTAACAAGTCTGGTAAGCCATTAGGTTTGGTTTCTAAAATCATGACCTTACTGGGACCACTTAGGTATGCGTTTTGAGCATGATGGCCTTGATTTCCATCTGAAGGTCAGCGGCTTTACAGTCTCACAGGGCTTGCTCTTGACACGAGTACACAGTCATCATAATGAACTAATGATGAACATGGAGGGTTTTCCCACATTACAGAGGCTCTGTGTGTTTGCTTCTCTGCTGAATTGTCATATTTCCTTCTTCCTAGTATATTTTACTTTTTAGTACATAGTCCATATCGTTCTTCTTAGAAAAAGTACATAACTCCATACTATCATAATGCGTGTAATTAACTGTAGGCTCTCATAGCTTGCTCCTTGTGCAAATTAATAATTTGTTTGAATTACTTTCTGATTGTTCTTCTTAATTCTGAAGAGGGGAATGGTTTGTGCTTGTCACTGCTTTGTCCCACATCTTAGCATTATTTCTTATTGTTTTTCTACTTGTCTTAGACTGTTCTAGTTGAGCCTACAAGTGGAAACACAGGCATTGGGCTTGCCTTCATTGCTGCTTCCAGAGGATATAAGCTCATCTTAACGATGCCTGCATCAATGAGTCTTGAAAGAAGGGTCATTCTAAAAGCTTTTGGAGCTGAACTTGTTTTAACTGACCCAGCCAAAGGGATGAAAGGAGCTGTTTCAAAGGCTGAAGAAATATTGAATAACACACCAGATGCCTATATCCTTCAACAATTTGACAATCCCGCCAACCCCAAGGTTCTTCTGCGAACAGCTCACTCTTTATTTTATGTTGTGGCAATTTATGATACTCCAGAAGTGAATGCTTATTATCTGTGACTAAATGGCTTCTACAATTTGCCTTAATCAATTTAAAATTCTAATGGCCATTGTGGTGATTAATTCTCCATGGTGCCAATCCCAATCATTGTATATTCAATGTAATTGTAAAGAGTGAGTAGCGACTAAAAAGAACTCTATATGCGTGTCAGATTGGATCTCTAACTATCCTCCCATTCCTTCTTTTCCATTCTCACCAGACACAAGACTCCGGCAAAGAACAATCCGAGCTTCATTTCCCAATGGGTCTGCAGAGCTTCATCCCAAAATTTTCTTTGTTTTGTATTTGTTTTATTAACAATTACTCTAGTTATTGACATCATCTTTCAACAAGAAAAAAAGAAGAGAAAACTGGAGTACTCAGCTTGCCACCAATAACTGGCAAGTAATTTTGATATATGCTGGATTATAAATGCAACGATAATGTGATTTAAAGTCAAATATTAGTTTCTGGCAGTTGCTGATTTTCATCTTTACTCTGAATTGTTAGCTGAACTTTCATATGCTTAACATGTAAGTTGAATTTGAAAGCATCCATTTTATGGATTCCAATTTGTGCAACCAAAAAGATTCAAAATCAAACCAATACTTCCTTCTTTTCTGTCATCCTTTAGACATGAAAGATGAGGAGAAGAAAAGATGAAGAGGAAAGAGCCAAGTTACCTGGAGGAAACAATGGGGATGAGTTCGATAGGGAAAGAAATAGACCGTACCAGTAGCTGGAGAAAGAAACGGAGATGGGCTATACGCCAGCAAATAGGAAAGTTAATTAGGGCGGCTGATTCAGAAGAGGAAGTTTTGGGTGTTTAGACATTTTTTGTTGAAAAGAGCCGAAGTCTCTACTATTGAAAAGATGGGAATGTGTTTAAAATGATATTTAAGGAAAACAGAAAATGGGTACAATGTTAACTTACTGCATTCAAGTAGTAGGTTAACAGGACCTATATACACACATGCTAACCATATTACCTCTCTTCCCCCCCTCCCCTCTTCTCCTCCCCCGGGTTTTTTCCGTGAAGTGGACAGTATTCTTGAGTTTACAGATTATGATTTTTTTTTGCTTGTATGGTGTAGATACACTATGAAACAACGGGTCCAGAGATCTGGGAAGACACAAAAGGCAAGATTGACATACTTGTTGCTGGCATTGGAACTGGCGGAACCATTACAGGAACAGGCCGATTCCTTAAAGAGCAAAATCCAAACATTAAGGTATTAATATTGCTTGAAAAAAAAGTAGCATTCTGCAAGTGTAGCTTTGAAGTTCATGCATATGTCAGTTCATTGACTTCTAAAATGTGAAAGAAATATGGGATGAAGCAAAATGCTGAGAAAGTATCTCCACACGGTTGATATTAAGTACTCTTAACTCTTTTTCTATTGCTTTTTGTTGCCTTTATCAGATTATTGGTGTGGAGCCCACAGAAAGTAACGTTCTATCAGGGGGCAAACCTGGTAAGATGACATTCAGATGTTGATCTGACTTTTCGCTTTTGAAGTTAAATCCTGTTTTGTTCTACTTGCTGCATTGTGAAAGTGCAGGCCCTCACAAAATTCAAGGGATTGGAGCAGGTTTTATTCCAGGAAACTTGGATCAAGATGTCATGGATGAAGTGATAGAGGTCAAATTCTTATCCATCCCCATTAAAATGCATTTTATTTCATCTTCGTTGAACTTGTGAAAATTGAAAGCTATTAAAGATTTCTGTCTTATGCATATACTCATTTTAATGATATACCCGCTAAGAATCTTCCACCTCAAACTTGGTGTACCTGTAATTGAACGTGAATCCATATTTCTGTTGTTGTGCCCCAATATGCCATTTCAAAGTAGTCTTACCTTTTCCTATATGTAAACCTTTTCTTTCTGGCTTCTAGGGGGTCAAAATATTTTTTGATTCTCAGTCAATTTGTTAAGTCTGCCTTCCCGTCCAACAGTACATCAGTTTCCCTTGTGTTATCCAACATCCCTTAGAATCAAAATTGAATAGAATATGTGTTTCTTCCGGTAAAACAAGAATGGAAAATCTATGGCATACTCTGCCAAGAATCAAGATAACAACTAATTGAGCACATTTAGCTTGTCAAACAGTTCATTCAGCTTTATTAGCCTGACAAATGGCAACATAGTTTATGTAGCTATAGTTCATTCATTTGGCACACTTGCACTCTGTGCTACTCTGCTAGAACATTTCTTATCCCTTGTTAAATTCCGTTAGAGAACAAGTTATCCTGATTGTCAACTATATAATAGTGTACAAGCCTATGCAATTTTAATATTGAATAAAGAATTGTTCCTTTTAAGTTTTGCTCCCTTAGTTATAGGTGAACTATTTCTGTATCCAATTAGGTGTATGAGCTTAAATCTGCATGTCCTATAAAAAAGGTCAAGCAGAAAATATTCTCTATTATGCTTTTCATAAAACCCAATAACAACATACCTAGTGTAGTTCCACAAGTGGGGTCTTGGGAGGTTGGGGTAGAGAGACCATTCCCAAAAGACCCTCTGCTCAAGAAAAACGTTGTTCAAGAAATCTGTCATCTTCCAGTGTGTTTACTCATTTTCTTGAATTTTCAGATATCGAGTGACGAAGCTGTTGAAACTGCAAAGCAATTAGCGCTACAAGAAGGGTTGTTGGTTAGTGCTTTTAACCAATCTTCATATCATCTGATTTTTGAGACAGTTTTAAATGAAGCTAAGCTTCAAATATCCATTAATTCATCTATGTTACAGATTGTGGATGCATTATAGAAACCTTACAAGTGGTCGAATTTCAAGTTGTCATGCTCCAATTTTAATTTATATATAAATCTTTCTATGAACTATGCTTTGAATGATTTCCGAATCAGAATATATTAGGTGATCTTTTTCTACTTTTGATAATCAGGTTGGGATTTCTTCCGGAGCAGCTGCTCTTGCTGCCATTCAGGTTGGGAAGAGACCTGAGAATGCAGGAAAGCTTATTGGGGTAGGTTCAATCTTAACTTCTGCATTTTTCCGACACGTGTGTATTTCCGTGCTCCTTCATTTCCTTTTTCTTCTACCTCATCAAACTTTAGTATTCGTTTTTCCGTGTACTTCTTATAAAGTAAATCATCCTTCCATTCATTTTCACTGAAGTTTATAGATCTAATAGCTCTGCATTGTTAAAAATTTCCTTCGAGTTAGTTGCATGTTATCATAGGGGCGTCACTTGTTTAGATGCCTTGAACTTCTTCAACATTTCTCTTGTAGGTTGTATTTCCAAGCTATGGGGAACGATACCTCTCCTCTATTCTTTTCCAGTCAATACGAGAGGAATGCGAGAAAATGAAGCCAGAATTGTGAAGATCTTCCTTTTTTCGAGCTATCTTCTGATTCTTAATAATGCTATCTGGCTTTTCTAGCTGCCACACTTTTGTTTGTTATATTTAGTTGGCTGCTTGTGTATACAATAGATCAGGTATTAAGATGGTTCTCATAACAAAGATTAAACAATCTCATCGATTCGGTTTGAGGATTTTTTATTTGAATTGATCATGAAATTTCACTGCTGTTTGAATCTTTTTCAATTTCATTTTTGGTTTTCCCTCTGTGAAGATGAAGATGTACTTTGCTACCTGGACCTGGAAGTTGGAATCCTCTTAAGACCATCTTCTTTAGATCCTGCAACAACTCTAGTACTCCCTTCATTTTAATCTGTTTGTCAGGTTTTGGCTTAAAACAGAGTTTTAAGAAAGAAAGTGAATAAGACTTTGAATCTTGTGATTTTAACTAAAGATATGTAGAATGTATCAAAATATTCTTTAATCTTGTTGTTTCAACCCTATCTTAGGTGAAAAAGTTAAAACTAAAGAAAATAAACAGATGACAGAGCGACATTAGTCATTTTATATTCTTATATAAGATATACAAGATGTGACAACTTGTATATACGTCCTTTGAAATATGATTTCTGACAAAACAATATTATAAAAAGAACATAAATATATGTATTAGAGAAAAGACATCAAGTCATCATTAAAGTTGTTTCGGATTTTAAAAAAATACCTTAACTTTGCAAGTGTTTTATTATTCCACAATTTTTTTGAATATCTTTGTACGAGGGTCATTTTGACTCATTCCCTCACCTTATTTGTGAACACGCACAACATGCGTGTGAAACAATGTTTTTGCTGCGAATAACCAATTAAAAAGTGTTACGTTTCGGTTATTTTCTTTATTGATTAGTTATTTACTTCTTTTACATCATCTTCTCCAAATCAAAGCTCAAAAGAACCATTGCTACTCTCTCTTGACGATTTCATCATCTTCCCCAAAACAAGGTCAACGTTGGTACTTTCTTTGACGAATTCATCATCTTACCTAAGCGCAATAAGGTAGGAATTCGTTTTCTCTTTTAATTTCTAGTCGAAAAGGTTAATTGAAAGTTTTTCAAGAAGAGAACAAAACCCTAACAATATCAATTAGTCAATAACATTACGAAACACATCGAAATCCTAATAATAAAAACTATAATAAGTCGATTCTAACACTTTTCAAACTATAATAATTCCTAAAATAGTAGTAATATGATCTTTATCAACTAATGTGAGAAAACTCTAACTTGTTAACCTTCAATTCCTTGTTCCTCCAAGAATTGTGACCAACAAGCGACAAAAAGGAAGCAGATGATCACCACACTATCATTTGACCAAGAACACAAAGAGACATGGAAAGTTGAGACAAAAGAAAAAGAGTTTTCTATTATTGAAACGAATCGGGTCGGGTTTAGACTATGGTAACTCGTGATCATCACGCGTGTCTAACCAGGTGAGGGAATGGGTCAAAATGATCCTTTTACAAAGATATTCAAAACTTCTGTGGTGTAATGGGACGCTTGCAAAGTTAAGTTTTTTTTATATATAAATTCGAAATAACTTCAGTAGTGACATTATGTTTTTTCTCATGCATCTATGTAAAAACATGTATATACATTTCATCGGTATCTATGCGAAAATACAAAGCCTCGAGCCACTTGTTTTATTTAAAAATAATTAGACCGGTTTAGAGAGTCGCCACTTAATTTTTAAAGTAAAATTAAGAAAACTATTTTTCCAAAAGACTAAAACAGAAATCTAATGAAAATATTAAAAGGGGGTTCGGGGTTCATATTAGCATTTCGAGAAGGGTTTAAAGGCACCCGAAATGTCCGCTATCACGCGGTTATCCGATAATTAACTATTTGACTAAACAGTTTTAAGAAAACACACAAACTTGAATAAGAGAAAGTAAAAATATTTGCTAAATTTTAAATATTTAATTCAAAATGGTTATCTTTTGGGGAGTTGAAATTTTGAAACCTTAAGATTAATTTAACAAATAAACACATAATGACAATTAAGTAGATAGGGAAAGAAGATTTGGGCCCAAGTCTGGATCTGTCCACCTGGGCCAGTACTTGGGCCTATTTTCGTTTTGGGCCTTGACCCAATTCTTGCCTTTTTTTGTACATGTTCTAGACTAAATCTTGAAATTTATTTCTTTGGGCCTTAGGCCCATCTTCCACCTGTCCTAAACTATCAAGACAATAGCCAAATAAAAGGTGGGCTTTTGGCCCAATTGCAACACAATACAAGACATGGAATTTTGTAGGCCTTTTGGGGCCCATTGCTGCTGCAACACATTGCGTATACAATTGTTGTATATCTTTGAATCACACTGTATATCAGTGCATTTTCGACTCCCGAGACCTGCATTTTTAGTTTTTAGGCCTTGTACGTCAATTTTAATGGCTGGGTAACTCAAAAAGGCAGAGTTTAAGTCTTTATGACTCTCTCAAAATGCAAGGAGAAGGAGATAGGAGTTCACAATGAACTTGGACAGATTTCACATGTAACAAAACAAGTAAAATATATAAGCAATACGCATAATAATTAACAAGAGAAACGGAAAGCAATAAAACACTTTGAGACAATAATCCCGAAAAAAGAAACTAACGGTGTCCCAAATACACGATTGAACTAGACTACCGTTGACCTCAAATTGGTAAAAGCATTATTAACACATAGTCCTCCTTCTTCAAATAATGTCAAACAGTAGTAAGATTAGGCTAATATAATCAACCAACAAAAATTCAAACTTTGCACTAGAAAACAAAATATAACTACATCACTTCCCATAAAGGACAAATGGATAAGGATCAATTTTTCTTTTTAAAGATGGAAGAAGAAAACCCAATAAAACACATTATAACATAGGGGCCAAACAAGTATTACAGATTATTCGAACAATATTAAATGCAAGAGAAAAGACTTCAATTAAACTAATCACTGAGACCCATTTTAGGATGAATGTACATCTTTTAGCAGATTTAACCGAAATAAAAACCTATGTGTGACCAAGTCATTTGGCGAAATTTTTTTTTAGAGATAAGCATAGCTATGCCACAAGAAATCATCAAGCAGTGTTACTGATTTTAAACATCAAGATTTATCAAACTATGCTAAAATATTTTCAATCCACTAAGAATTAAACAAACTACCTTGGTCGAGCTAGTCCATGAAATTCAAGAGCTTAAGGCACCAAATAATATTCCAGATCAAAAGATGGAAATGCATAATGACCAAATTAAGGGGGCACACAGAGATGCTAAAAGCACACTGCTAACTTAAGCCGAAAAAGAGACCTATATTCACATGATACTAAAAGGAAACACATATTATGAAGAAACAATCTATCATAAAATGGATACGAAGGTGAAAAATGACTATGTTAAAGACTGAAATTTTTGGATTTTTCGACCATTAAACAATACCAAAACAATCCAAGCTATACTTAGGTGTAAAAGTAGACGGCAAAATTCCAATCTCATTTAAAAGCCAAAGCCAAAACAACGGGTGACAAATAATACATGAGACGAGCAGAAGGGACAAATAGATTTGCAGGCATGCTTTTAAAAGAACACAAATTCCTAAACTCAACTTGCATTCAAAGAAACTAAAGGCATTCGACAGCTTCCAAACACATAGCAAAAGCATGGACTCTATTTCGACAAATAAGGACGAAGCAGTATCAAAATGATCAACAAATAAACAAACAAAAATCGAAATGAGTACAACTTAGCCGAGAAATCTTGAGAAGAACCATAAACAGAGGAAATCAGATTAAACAGACGATAAATCATTTTTAAAAACGAAATACTTGTATATCAGTTTCAGAAAGATTAGCATGAAAAGGAAGATTTAAGCTTGAACATATCAGATAAAATCCTCTTTGAATCGACAGAGGACAAAACACGATTCAACATATTGAACTCAAAATGAATGAAAGAGTCATGAGCTGTTTACCTTGTTGCGGGCAGCGAACAGGGACAGGATGAGCAGAGAGACGAGTCCTTCCACACAAATACGAACCGGACAGCAAGCGAGAGGCCCAAACAACAACTTGAAATTGAACTAACTTAGAAAAAAACGATGGTGATCAAGCTAGAAGAGTGAGACTCGAGCAAAAACTAACTCTTCTTTCTCTTTTTCCAATGTATTTAGTATATATTCTATAGCTATTTTGTTGTGTTTACTTTCTTAGGGCCCGTTTGGCCATGCGATATGGTATCATGATATGGAATCATGAGATGAAATTGAAGGTTTGTTTGGACATGCGATATGAAATTTTTGTGTTGTATATTTTCTCATAAACATAAAAATCCCACAAGTTGTAAAACTATTAAAATAGCCCCAGTTTTTTATTCAATCTTATCAAATAAACAAAAAATTATAAAATCGCATAATAAATTATTACAAAGTTATTTGTTCTCCACTTAAGTAATTGTTTCATCTAACTTTAATTTAATTAAAAAAAAATTGAACATAAAATGTAGTGTACTAGTCTTTAATATAATCCTCCCACATAATATGAACAATTTCCTCACATTGAACTTGCATTTCTCGATCATATGACCGAGAAGACGAACCAACATTGTTACTTTGAGCCATTTGTTGGTCAATATCCTCCGCAACTATATCTTCATGTTCATAGACCATAAATATTTCATCACTACTTTGGTATTCTCGCAAATAATTATGTAACACTGCACAAGCTATGACAATTTTCACTTGTGTATCAATATCATAATGGTTCATGCCTTGTTTCAGTATTCTAAATCTATTCTTTCAAGCTCCAAAAGTCCGTTCAATCACATTGCGCAGAGATGAATGCCTATAATTGAGGCTCTCTTTCACTTCCTCGGTAATCTTACAAATGATAGCATAGTCCTTTGTATGGAGCTAAAAATCCTTTTGTGTTTCGGAAACCAGCATCAACAACATAATATTTATCTACCAAAAAACATTTTATAAAGAATTACTAAAAGCATATGTGACGTAAATGAGACAACTTTGTGTAAATAAATAATATTTATTCTAAGGATGTAATTTAAAGTTACCATGTGGCGGAAATGGAAATTGTGACGTTGATTCAACAAGTGCATTCTCAAGTAATTTACTATCATGTGCAGTACCTTCCCAACCAGCAACAACAAAGGTAAATCGTATATCAAAATCACAAGCACATAAGACATTTTGTGATGT